CAGAAGTGTTCTCCGGAGCTGTCGTCTATCCTTTCAAAACTATTTAACAAGTGCTTATCAGAGTCTTGTTTTCCAGCCTGCTGGAAAGCAGCATCTGTTATCCCTATTTTTAAAAATTCTGGAGAGTGATCCGATTCATCTAAGTACCATCCCATCTTCTTCGTATCATAATCAAGGTTTTTGAATCTTTAATTAACAAGCACTTAATCTCTCATCTTGAATCTCATAACCTACTTTCTTATCATCAATATGGGTTTCGGTCTTCTCGTTCTACGGCTAATTTGCTAACAGTAATAACTGATAGGTTTTATCGTGCATTAGATAAAGGTGGAGAGGTTAAGGCCATTGCTCTTGACATTTCTAAAGTGTTTGATAAAGTTTGGCATGCTGGTCTTCTCCATAAGCTTTCTTCTTAAGTGTATCTGAAAACATCTTTAAGAATATTGAATCTTTTCTTTCCAATCGTATTATAAAAGTTGTCCTTGATGGACAGCACTCTTCTTCTTATTCTGTAACCTCAGGGGTTCCTCAAGGTTCAATCCTTGGCCCTATGCTTTTTTAATTTACATTAACGATCTTATAGATATTCTCACATCTAAGGTGGCATTGTTCGCTGATGATACTACCATTTATTCTTGTCACGATAAGAAGCCAACTCCCTTCGATTGCTTGCAGGGGGCATTTGAGCTTGAAAAGGATCTCACTTCTGCTACAGCATGGGACTCACAGTGGCTGGTGAACTTTAATTCAGATAAAACTCAATTTTTTTCATTCAATCTTTATCGCAATAATTTAGACCTTCCTATATTTATGAACGGTAATGTACTCGATGAGTCATCTACCCTTCATCTTCTAGGATTAACTCTCACTTCTGAATTTTCTTGGAAACCTTATTTCAAATCCGTTGCAAAAATAGCATCTGCTAAAGTTGCATCTCTTTATCGAGCTCGACACTTTCTTAACCTGGATTCTATTCTTTATCTATATAAATCTCAAATCCGACCTTGTATGGAATACTGTTGCCATATCTGAGGTGGATCTTCTAATGATGTCCTTTCTCATTTAGAAAAGGTGCAAAAACGCATTGTAAACATAGTTGGACCTTCTTTTGCAGCCAACCTTTGACCTCTGTCACACCGTCGTAATGTTGCTGCTCTTTCTCTTTTCTACAAATACTATAATGGTCACTGCTCTAAAGAGCTAGCGTCTCTTGTGCCATCTACTAAAATTCATTCTCGTGTTACTCGTCATTCAATTAAGTCTCATCCTTTTTTTGTGACTGATTGTCACAAAAAAAGGATGAGACTTAATTGAATGACGAGTGCTTAAAAAACTCTTATTCGTCTAGTTTTTTTTTCTCGAACATCAGTTCTTTGGAATTCGCTTCCTTCATCTTGCTTTCCTGATTCATATACTTTGCAATCTTTTAAGTCATCTGTCAATCGTTATCTTGCTCTGCAACCTTCATCTTTTCTCTTCCAGTAACTTCCAACACTAATTAGTGGTTGCTTGCAGCCTTGTTTGAAGCAAAGATGTTAAAAAAAAAAAAATTATATAAATATATGTATATATATGTATGCGTGCATATATATATATATATATATATATATATATATATATATATATATATATATATATATATATAATATATATATATATATATATATATATATATATATATATATATATATATATATATAATTGAAATAGTCATTTCAGGTACATTGACTTTGTGCTGATGCTATCTTAGCAAATAAAAATAAATTTATGATCTTTCATGATCTGTGGTTTTTTTTATCGTCTGTGCCTGCTCAAATTAGATTTGTATGATTTATTTCATATGTTAAATATACTTTAATATATATTTATTTATATTTTATTACTCTATTAACATTTATGTAAAAAAGTTTTGAGAAATTTTATTAATTTAGCTTAATCATGTCTACTGCTAATCGAACAATACTTATGGCTGTTGATGACACTGAAACAACTTTGCACGCTTTTGAATGGTATATTGAAAATTTTCATAGAAGTGAAGATGTTTTAGTGTTGACGCATGTTCACAGAATGCCTGAGCTGCCTACAATGGGGTTGATGGCTGGGACTATTGCTATGTCAGAGAGTTACGAATTAGTTATAAGAGCAAGTATCGAAAAAAGTAAACAACTGCTTGCAAGCTATGAAAATCGGTGTAAAGACCATCAGGTTCATTCAAGAATTATACTTGCAGACGATCATCATTCTCCAGGACATGTGATTTGTAAATTAGCGAAAAGTAACGAAGCTGATGTCATAATAACTGGACAGAGAGGACTTGGTAAACTAGGTCGTGTTTTTTTAGGTAGCACAAGTGATTATGTTCTTCACCATGCTCATATCCCTGTAATTGTTGTGCCACCAAAAAATAGCGATCATTAGTTATGGAGACTTTAGATAGTACTTTGTTTTATCGAAATAAAAACCGAATTATAATTATTAATTTAATAATTAATAATAGTAATGATTTTGTTATTATTGAAAAAAGAAAATTAAAATTTTACAAGTCATAATCATGTTTTAGTCAAAACAATAACAATCTTAAGTTTTGAGGTTACAATGTAAAAAAATACATATTTAGACACAGGGCTGTGGAGTCGGAGTTGTGGAGTCGCGACATTTTTAGCGGAATCGGAGTCGCTTAACAAAATCGCGACTCCGACTCCAATAGTAAAACTTCTAGATATTGCACGTGCATGTACAAAACATTCAATTAACCTTATGTTCATACTAAACCTCAAAGAACGTTTCATAAATTTGTCTAAAAAGAAATTATTTTATCGCGTAATATTTTTGAAAGAATTCAAAGAATTTTTCAAAAATTTTGCTTTGGAGTTGGAGTCGGAGTTGTACTTACAAAATTTCAACAACTGGAGTCGGAGTCGTTACTTTTTTTTTACGATTCCACACCCCTGTTTAGATACCAATATAAAAGGACTTTAATATTAATATTATTATTTTTTTTAACTTTTATTTATTAAAATTTCAAATTTCAAATAAATAAAAATGAGATGAAACAAAAAGGAACATTCAAATAGATAAAAATGAGATGAAACAAAAAAGAACAACAAAAGAAAGAAAGTTTAGAACTAGTATTATGTTCAATATTTATATATTATAATGTATACTTCATATAAAATAATATATAAATTATAATATAAAACTATAATATAAAAATTGAAATATATAATACTAATTTACAAGAAATATATAGATACTCACTTATTTACACATTTCTAAACACATATTTTATAAAACATTGTTACAATTGTTTATATTTCAGATTTATAAAGATTCTTAACTAAAATAAACATCCAGATTAAGATCAAGATTAAATATAATCAAGAACGTAGAAAAAAAAAATAAATTAAGAAACAAGTGATAACAAGGTAGAGCCGTTTTAGCTTTTGCATATGATCTTGAAATAATTCTTGCACAACAAGATGATTTAGATATTAAAGGTATTAATATTATGTAGTTATATATTGTCAAAATCATTATTTAAAATAAATATTCAAAAGATCAGTGTCAAATCTTTAGTGCGTTTTATTTAAATTGACTAAATGAACTATTTTTCAAAACAAAACAACACTTTATGTTCAGATATGTTAACAATAAATGCAGCCGTAGCGCAGTGGTTAGCGCGCTTGCCTCAGAAACTAAATGTCCATGGTTCAACGCCACCTCTGGGCAAGATTTATAAAATCGTTGATAAAGGGGGCGTAAACTTTCTTTCAAATGCTCTCCCGCGGTGCTCTGTGATAAGATCGTATGGACTTTTTGGGGGCACCTAAAAAAAAAATTAGAAGAAAAAAAATCAGTCACAATTCAGTTTTTAAAAACAAAAAAATTTAAAATTAAAAAAATATAAATTTGAAAAGATTAATTTTAAAATTAAAAAATAAAAATTGATTTTTCTCCCACGAACATAATAGTCCAATATATCCTAAGGTAATAACCTATTTGTATACTATATCCTAAATCATTTTACTCGGGACGCATTTTGTGAGACTATGGAGGTTGCAGAAGAGATAAAATCATTTATTGTATTAGTTATGAAAAAAAAGGATCCCTTTTTTTAGGGATTGTCCATAAATTACGCAACGCTGATTTATAAGTAAAACAAAAACGATCAAAAGTTTATCTTCGCAGAGTTTTTAGTTTAATAAAAAAGCAGAACAGCCCATTAAGTTTAATAAAAATCACCGCGTAAAAGAACTTAATATCTCCTACTCCTTTTTTAAAATAACATTAGCGTTGCGAAATTTATGGACGATTCCTTAATTAAAATAGGCCGGGTGAAGAAAAAAAAGCACTTGCTTTTACTTAATAGTTGGTCAGTTTTACGTGAATAAAAACTTTTTATTCGTGTAATGTTAAGCAATTTAGTCAGTAATTGCTCACACTGATCTCTATAATAACTGGATAGCGCATCTCCTAATAAAATTTCGAAATTTTTGAAGCCAAAAGACGCCATATTGGAAAGCCCCAGAATTTATAAATCCGTAGATGCGTTAAGCTTATATGCAGATTTCGCTTGATAAATAAAAAATGCAAAAACCTTATAAATGCATTGATTATTAAAAACCGAGTAAATCTGATGTTATATGTTCAGATCATTGCATGGAGAGTGACATAAATATATATATATATATATATATATATATATATATATATATATATATATATATATATATATATATATATATATATATATATATATATATATATATATATATATATATATATATATATATATATATATATATATATATATATAAATTATGTATACAGGGTGGCCAGCCACTTTCAAGAATTAAATTCCCTAACTTTTTATATTTTTCCCTGACTCAGTTATATTTTGAAGTGTGAGTTTTTAAGTTTTGTTGTTTGGGAGTAAGTAAAAAAAAACCTTTAAAAAAAATTAAATTTTCAAAAAAGACATTTTCCCTGATTTTCCTGACTAGAAAAAAATTCCCTGACTTTTCCATGATTTCCAGTTAGCTGGCCACCCTGGTATAATATTATTATAATAGTATGCAAGTGTATTTTAGTATGCACCTTTTGATTCTTAATTGCCCTCTGCAAAATGCCTGAGGCTTGTAACATATTTGCAAGGTAAACAGCTTACAAGTTTGCTGTATGAATCATTAGTTAGGCAATGTGATTGTAACACAACCTAAAGGTTCCTTAGGCAACATATAGCAAATCTTTATATTTACTTTTAACAATTTTGTTCTTGCGTGTATATATATATATATATATATATATATATTATATATATATATATATATATATATATATATATATATATATATATATATATATATATATATATATATATATATATATTAACTTAACGCTTAACTGTTGAAAAATACTTTCAAGACATTTTTGTAAATGCCATTAGACATTTTCACAACACCAGAACATTTGTATAAGATATTGCAATTACAAAAGAATATGTTAAAGTAAAAAAAATATAAATAAAATAATAGTTAGCTCTATCATCTTGAACAAAATAATCATTGAATAACTTGTATAAGCATTGATTAACAAAATAAACATTGAATAAAAAGGTATTATGTGGTAGGGAAAAGTAAAAAAGTATGTACACTTAGAAAAAAAATTGTTCACCTTTCATTTTGGTCTTTTATGTTGCTTATTTGTTTCACAAGAGATATTTTAAATATTTATTAATTATACAACTAATATTTATCAGTATAAAACTGATAGATGTTAGCTGAATCATTATTATTTTACTTTAGAGTCAATAGTTGTAAAAAAACTTGAAAGAAACCATGTCTGTTTTCATTTATACCATATTTACATATAAACAATCAACATGTATGTGATGCTGTTATTTAGTCTAAAACACAAAATACTTTAATGTAAAACTGCAAATAACTAGTTATCATCAAATATCCAGTGTTTTTTAAAGTTAGAGATGGCTTTTTCAAACCTTCACAAAGTGTAATTAAAGTTAGCAAAGCAACAGAACAAAACATTGTTATTAAGTGATATCAATTTTAATAAAGTATTGCATAGTTGATGATATTTCAGTTGTGGAACAATATAAACATGCCCTCAGAGTTTCAAAAATTAGAAAACCATTTACAAAAATGTTTGATACAATGTTTTTATCATGTTTTATACTTGTAAAGTTACTTTCCAGCTACTATTGCTAAGTAAGGTCGCATCAAGTTGTTAAAATAAACACCCAAAAGTAACCATATCAAATATCAATTTGTCTTTTAAAAAAGTTTTATTTAGAATATCATGAATTCAATAAATTTAACAAGTTTATAGAAAACAATACAAATTTTATTATTTCTTTATAGCGATATTTCTCTTCGTCGTTAATGTTCTGCGTGTTTTTGATTCCCTTTTAAAATTTTTACACCTTCAAACATTTTAAATATAATAATATCATTGAAATATGTGACTTGGTCGAGTAGATATAAACGAAGTAAAAAGGTACATCTTCAAGCGCAATCACTGTATTTTCGGTTTTCTGGGGCTTTCCAATATGGCGGCCGTACAAAATATTGGCTTCACTTTTGATATTAGAGATGCGCTATCCAGTTATTATAGAGATCAGTGATTGCTCAGCTTTACGTAAATCTAGCTTTGCGAAACTAACAACTGATATATAGATTTTTTTTTAATTTTTGAAGATTTTTTAACGCTTCCTTTTTTGATACACCTTTAATGTTTTTATACTTTAATATGTTTTAAAAATTTTGCATTTTTAAAAAATTACATCATAAACATTTTAAAGAATGAGTTATAACTGTTCATTTATACATTTACTAATCATCAAATAATTTACTAATACGTCTCTAACTAATTAAAGGTATTCTTAATTAGAGCTAAATTTAAAAGTTAAAATGTTTACATTGTTAAAGAAGCGTTTGATAAAGACTTGTTTTTGCTATGGTATTACAGGGTTATTCATTCATATATACAGGGTTATTCATATGCGCGTCTATTCATTTTTATATGCGGCTTTATTCATTCTTATATGCGCATTTATTAATTTTTATATGCGCCTTTATTCATTCTTATATGCGCATTTATTCATTCTTATATGCGTATTTATTCATTTTTATATGCGCGTTTATATATGCGTCAATATAATTTATATAGTTTATATATGCTCTAATATAATTTAATATAAACAATAAATACGCTTTTAAATTTTTATATAGATATATTTAAAATATAAATAAGGTTGTTTTCATTGTTATTTATTTAAGAAATGGTTGCCGAGCCAGCGCTGGATTTATATAACTACGCATATGGTTGTAAAATGAAACTATATTAAACTCTGTAGTATCCATAGTATTTTTAAGTTGATCAAAATATTTTCCTGATTACCTCATCCGTATTTCAAGGCCTTTCTCTCTGTTTGTTAGTATGTTTTAAAGAAAAACTCTTCTATTGGATTAAGCTGTGGCGTGT